ATAAACCACTCCTGAAACAGAGACAACTTCATAAAAATAGTACCTGAGCTAAAAAGAGGGCTGGTTTATGGAACCGACTAGTTTATTATCGTCTTAAAAATGGTCAGTTTTTAACCTGAAAATAAAGATTGCATTGCCTTACATGCCTTAAATGCAGAAGGAGCTTCAAGCAAGAACAGAGTAAATATATTGTGCAGCATATAGAAATATTTTTCACTGAATCAATATTTTTTATAATAGAAATAAAAGGTGAATGGACTTGGATTTTCTTAAACTTTTTCATGTTTTCTTTTGTATCAAAATACAAGCTTGGTGTTTATTACCAAGTGCTCATGAAGCCATTTTGGTTTTCTGCAATATTAACATTCCGTCTTTGCCTTTGAGGGGCATTTATAATCTGAAGTGAAACTCTCTCATGGTTTAAATGTAAAAAATAAACATTCATTAACATTGCGACACAGATTTCTGTAACAGGTCTTTAGTTTCCTGCGCAGCTTGACTGAATCTGGTTTTGGGAGTCTGTGTCTATGAAGACAAAAAGAGCCATCTGTTTACTCCCTCCTGCCAGCTCAGTATCAATCACAGTTTTGATGTCGCCACAAAGAGGGAAAAGCAAGATGCTGAACACGCATTCACGCAAATGAAATCTGAAGGACAGAATCTTATAATAAGGCACAGGAAAGTGCAATATTTTAACCAGTAAGGGTCGGACAAAATTTATGTTAGTGTGTGGAAGATTTAGCTTTTCCTTTCCACACTATCAACACATGGCAGTATGGATTCATGCTATTTTAATATTCTGAGTCTGTTGTCTGAGAGTTGCAGCTGAAATTGAGACTCATTTGACAAGGCAACATATTTCCAATTTGTCACTGTCCAATTTTGGTGAGTCTGTGTGAATTGTTGTCTCACTTTCCTGTTCCTACTTGACACGAGTGCTTGGTGTGACAGTTTGCTGTAGCCAATCTACTTCAAGATTCAGTGCGTTTACAAATGTAATTCCAAATTGCTTGCTTAATTATTTATCTTTCTGTCATTCTGACTAGTCTACCATTCTCCTCTAACATCACCAATGTATATTCATATACATTCATCTGCTTCTCACTGACCATCTTCATTTTGTCTAATTTCTTTCTAAGTTTTTCTAAATAATGTCTTGCTTCATTGTTTCCATGGAATGTTCTTGTTTTATGAACTCCACCAATTTCCACAACATGATGCTTCCACCACCATACTTAAAGCATTTGTAAATGATAAAGACGCTGACAAAGGAAGAATGTTCTCACAAAATTTTTATTGCATTGAAAGCTGGAATATTTGTACAAAATTATTAGTTTTATAAATAATTTTAATTAAGTAGACACAGAATGTCTTCCAGTGCAGTTTATGGCTTTGAAACCATTTTCAAAAAAACGTTGATGTTACAATGACCACAATGTATGTCATGTTTTGTTGACGTTTGTGGATTTGGTTTCCTGAGCGTTGTGGTAGAAGGACAAAAGAAATAGGCTCATGACATAAAATAATAATATTAGATGTTGTTATAAATACCAAAAAAATAAAATGATTAGAATACTGACAAGGGTCTGAACCAGTCAGACATGAAATTTCATCTGCAAATCCGGAGTTTTATCCAGAAAGCATGTGTTGAAGTTACTTGTAT